ATATTTAAATTCATTTAAATTGCATTTAAATTCATTTAAATTATATTTAAATTCATTTAAATTGCATTTAAATTCATTTAAATTATATTTAAATGATTTTAAATTTTATTTAAATTCATTTAAATTTGCCAAATGCAAACAAATCCCAAAAATTGAGCTGCTGCGGGGCCGGCGGCTGCTGCTGCCGCCTTCCCCGTAAACCCTAAACCCTAAACCCTAAACCCTAAACCCTAAACCCTAGGTCTTCCTTGTGCCGTCAAACTGCAGACCCCGTTTGTCAGTGAGGAATCAGGGCTTCTCAGAAGCAGCAGCAGCAGCAGCAGCAGCAGCGCAGCAGCAGCAGCAGCAGCAGCAGCGCAGCAGCAGCACCAGCGCAGCAGCAGCAGCAGCAGCAGCAGCAGCGAAGCAGCAGCAGCAGCAGCAGCAGCAGCAGCGCAGCAGCAGCAGCAGCAGCGAAGCAGCTAGCGTTGCACTTCTTCTTCAGCTTTCTGTTCAATTAAAATTAGAAAGAATTATTTAAATATTTTAATTTGTTTTAAAACAAAAAAGAAGCAGCAAAAAAGAAAAATGAATTTCATGTTCTGTTCATCTTCTGAAATGCATTTCAATTCAAAAATGAATAGACTTCCTTTTTCTCATTCTCCTTAATTTGCTGTTTATTTATTTATTTATTTATTTATTTATTTATTTATTTATTTATTTATTTATTTATTTATTTATTTATTATATTACTTATTTATTTATTTATTTATTTATTTATTTGTTCTTGGGAGTGTTGTTTGCGCTGTCTTTGGTGTTTTTGCATATCGGGGGGATTCCGCGTCCTTTTTGACTTTTCATTTTTTCTTTTTTGTTTCATTTAAACAGCCAGAAGGCCACAAATAGGGCCGAGGGGTTAGGGTTTAGGGTTTAGGGTTTAGGGTTTAGGGTTTAGGGTTTAGGGTTTAGGGTTTAGGGTTTAGGGTTGTGTGCCTTTGTTCTGTGCTAATAAAGCATATGAAAACGTAATTAATTGGACTGGGGGAATAATCTGTAATGGAAATAAATTATTCTTCTAATTTATGCTTAATAATAATTATAATAATTAATATTAATAATAATAGAAATTATTAATAATGGGAATAATAATATTAATAATAAATAATAATGCTAATAATAATAATAAATAATACTACTACTACTAATAATAATAATAACACTAATAATAATAATAATAACAATAATAATAATGTTGGTGGCAACAATAAATAGCATAAATAATAATCGTAATTTTTAATGATAATAGTACTAATAATAATAACACTAATAATGATAATAAGAATGATAATAAATATTAATGATAGTAATAATGATAATAATAATAAATAATAATAAATAATAATAATAACACTAATAATAATAATAATAATAATAATAAATAATAATAATAATAATAATAATAATAATAATAATAATAATAATAATAATAATAATAATAATGATAATAAACAATTAAACTTTTCTGAATAAAGCAGCTGTTAAGAAAAATGCAAAATTGTTTTTTGGGATTTTGAATTTGCAATTGGCAGAATTTGAATTTTTTGTTGAAATGAAAAACAACAAAAGTTTATTTATTTTTGAATTTGAAAAGAATTAATAATTGTTTATTTATATTAAATTAAATTAATAATTGTTTATATTAAATTAAATTAATAATTGTTTATATTAAATTAAATTAATAATTGTTTATATTAAATTAAATCAATAATTGTTTATATTAAATTAAATTAATAATTATTTATTCTTCAACAATTAAATTAATAATTGTTTATATTAAATTAAATTAATAATTGTTTATATTAAATTAAATTGATAATTGTTTATATTAAATTAATAATTGTTTATATTAAATTAAATAAATAATTATTTATTCTTCAACAATTAATTAATTGAAATAAGAATTGAAAGCAAACTAAAACGAGAAATTAATATTCAAAAGAAAGCTGAAAGAGCAAACTGGAATTTTCTGCCAATTCTGACTTTGTTTTCAGTTCAAATTAAATGGAATTTTCTTTTTAATTCATTAAATGGTAAATTACTTTTATTATTTAGGACTTTTGCGAATAAAAAACGTCCTTTGTCCCGCCAAAAAGCAGCAATTTCTGTTCTTTCTGCTGCTGCTGCTGCTGCTGCTTCTGCTGCTGCTGCTGCTGCTGCTGCTGCTGCAGTTGCTAGGGAAAGCGGCCAACTTGGCCCGATTTCCGCTCTTTTTCCATTTTTTGTTTTCCAAAACACAAAAACGCAGTTTTGTTTCCAAAATATAAATCAATTGGAGCTGAAGTTTCCAAAATATAAATCAATTGGAGCTGAAGAGGGGGGGAAAGCGCTTGAAGTGTCTTAACAGGAAGCTCCCGCCATACATCTTGGCGTCTGCGGCAGCTGTTTGGAGGCTAAAAGTCCCGTTGCCGCTAAAAAGGATTAATTTTTTGCGTTTAATTTAATTAAAAAGTGCAAATTGAGTTTTAAAACCGGCGCAGGCTGCAAAAGACAGAAAATAGTTGCAGCCGTGCTGCTGCTGCCGCCGCAGCGGGGGGTGCGGCGGCGGCGGGCGGTCCTAGGCTCAAGGGGGGTCTGATCCGCCGCGGATTTCGCGAAAACGGAATTAAAATAAATGAAATAAAGTCGTTTTCGTTGAATTTAAGGCAGTTAGTGAAAAAAGGAGAAGAAACGCTGCAGATTTGCCCGCAGGAGCAGTCCACCCGCTGCCGCCGCGTCTTTTTCTGTGTCTGCTCTGTACGCGCAGCGCCGCAGCGATCCGGAGCTCTTTCTGGTGTATTTACAGCTCGCTTTTCGTTTTTAAAATTAAAAAACAAATAAAGAAACCATTTAAGATAGAGAGACGGGGAGACAGCGGCGGCGGCGGCCCCAGCAGCCCCCGAGATGAGACTCGAGCAGCAGCAGCAGCAGCAGCAGCAGCGGCGGCAGCAGCAGCAGCAGCAGCACATATCTGGGCTTCGCGTCTGCGTTAATTCCCCCTTTTCCTCCTTTTTGTCTTTATTTTGAAGTTTATTTCCTTTAATTGCTGCAGCAAACTGGAAAAATGCTGCTCTGTGCCCTCGCCGTCCTCCTCTGCGGCGCAGCAGCGCCGCCTGCAATGGGTGGGCTCCCCTGGGTTAAGAGTTTCGCACAGTTTCTTTCTTTCTTTCAGTTCGCCCCAGTCTTTTGCCCCTTAATGCTTCGGACCTGCTGCTGCTGCTGCTGCTGCTGCTGCTGCTGCTGCTGCTGCTGCTGCTGCTGCTGCTGCTGCTGCCCCTCTTTATCTGCTGTTGTCCCCTGTGTTACCCCTGCAGTCTTGCTCTTCGTTTGCTGCTGCTGCAGTTGCTGCTGCTGCTTTCTCTCCTTCTGTTCGCTGTTGCCTCTGCTGCAGCTGCTGCTGCCTCCTTTGACTCCTTTTTGCTGCTGCTGCTGCTGCTGCAGCAGCAGCAGCAGCAGCAGTGTGTGGCCGCTTGAGTTTGCTGCAGCTCTTGGGGTGTATGCGCAGCTCGGCTGCGCGGACTGCATCCGCCGCTCTCCGTTCTCGAGTGGACTTCGACCATTTTATTGAATTAAATTAAATTAAATTAAATTAAATTAATTTAAATTAATTTAAATTAATTTAAATATTTAATTTATTCTTTTATTTCTTTTTCTTTCTTCCTTTCAGCCTTCCTAAACCCCTCTTCTGTCCACTTCTCCTACCGCTACGCCATCTGCCCCGGCGGCGCCTGCGGCGCCATGGGGGCCCCCCAGGGGGGCCCCCAGGGGGCCCCCCTGGGGGCCCCCCTGGGGGGCCCCCAGGGGGCCCCCCAGGGGCCCCTCTTTGCCCCCAATAGCCTCCGTTTGAGGGGCCCCGAGGGTTTGAAAAAGGGTTTGAAAGAAGGAAACTCTTTTGTTCTTTTTGCTGGCGAAGGCCAGGAGGAGATTTTGCAAAAAGTCAAAGAAGTTGTTGCGGAACAGTTGGGGGCGGATATCAGCAAAGTGCATGCAAACTCCCACTTCGTCAAGGTGCGCCTTGCTGCTGCTGCTGCTGCTGCTGCTGCTGCTGCTGCTGCTGCTGCTGCGTGCAGCTGGCTAGCTGGCTGCAGCTAGCTGCGGCTAGCTCGCGGGCCAGTTGCGGCTAGCTGCGGGTAGCTAGCTATAGTTGTAGCTAGCTAGCTAGCTAGCTAGCTAGCTAACTGGCTAGCTAGCTAGCTAGCTAGCCAGCTAATAGCTAGCTAGCTAGCTATTACAGCTAGCCACGGCTAGCTGTAGCTAGCTAGCTAGCTATTTCTGCAGAGGCAGCTAGCTGCTGCTGAGTGGAAAGCAATCAAAAAAAGATTAAATAAAAGAAATAAAAGTTTTAAAATATTTAATTGAAAAATTGAATTAAAAATGGTGAAGTGCAGAAGTTGAAAACGTGCAGCGAGAGAACTGGATTTTGAATTAAATGAATTAAATGAATTAATTTGAAACAAATAAATCAAATTTGAACTTAAACCGAATTAAAATTAATTAAATTTAATTAAATTTAAAATTAATTAAATTTAGTTTAAAATTAATAAAATATAATTTCAAATTAATTAAATTTAATTTAAAATTAATTTAGTTTAATTGCAACTTCTGCAGGACTTGGAGGCGGACAGCGAAAGAACTGGATTTTGAATTAAATCAAATAAAAGAATTAAAATTGCAACAAATAAATAAGATTTGAACTTAAATTGAATTAAAATTAATTTAATTTAATTTAATTTAATTTAATTTAAAATTAAATTTAAAATTGATTTAATTTAAATGCAACTTCTGCAGGACTTGGAGGCGGACAGCCTCGACAGTGTGGAGTTGGTGATGGCCTTTGAGGAAAAGTTCGGAGTTACAATTCCTGATGAGGAAGCGACAAAGATCACAACAGTCCAGGAAGCTGTTGATTTCATCCAAAAACACAAGTAAATGCCACTAAAATGGCATTTAAATGCCACTAAAATGGCATTTAAATGGCATTAAAATGATACTAAAATGGCATTAAAATGGCATTAAATGACTTTTAAATGCCATTAATTGCATAAAATGGGATTTAAATCGTTAAAATTGCGCAGAAATGCTCGAAGTTGATGCATTTCATGTCCAGGGAGCTGTTGATTTCATCCAAAAACACAAGTAAATGCCACTAAAATGGCATTAAAATGGCATTAAAATGGTACCAAAATGGCATTAAAATGGCATTAAAATGGCATTAAAATGGCATTAAATGGCATTTAAATGCCATTAATTGCATAAAATGGAATTTAAATAGCTGAAATTGCGCAGAAATGCTCGAAATTGGTGCATTTCATGTCCGGGGAGCTGTTGATTTCATCCAAAAACACAGTAAATGCCACTAAAATGGCATTAAAGTGGCACTAAAATGGCATTTAAATGGCATTTAAATGGCATTTAAATGCCATTAAATGCATAAAGTGGAGTTTAAATCGTTGAAATCGCGCAGAAATGCTCGAAATTGATGCAGTTCATGTCCAGGAAGCTGACACAAGTAAATGACACTAAAATGGCATTTAAATGGCTTTTAAATGGCATTTAAATGGCATTTAAATGCCATTAAATGCATAAAATGGAATTTAAATTCTTAAAATCGCGCAGAAAAGCTCGAAATTGATGCAATTCATGTCCATCAAGAAAATAAGAGCTGTTTAGGAAGCTGTTGATCTGATTCAAAAAGACAAATAAATGGCATTTAAATGACCTTTTAAGTGACTTAAAGGACTTTAAAATGACTCTTAAATGGCATTTTATTGCAAAGTTTGAATTTGGAATTCTTTGAGTGGAATGGAAGTTCAAAAATTCAGAAAAGTTCACAAAAGTGGCATTTCAAGTGTTGACTGCCAGCTTCGGAGTTTCAAATTGTGGAAAGTTGAATGACTTTGGTTTTATTGAATTAAATAATTAAATAATTAAATAATTAAATAATTAAATAAATTAAATTAAATAAATTAAATCAACAAAATGAATTTAAAGGATCAATTAATTATGAGAGGACAACTGACACGAGAAGCCGCCGTTCTAACTTGAAGAGGGAAACTGAATGGGAATTCGGAATTCTTTGTTTCTTTTAATGCTTCTAATTATTCAATTAAATGACATTTAACAATTTATTCTTTTTATTTCATTTAAATGGATTTAAATTGCCTTTTTGCTCTTTTAAAGAGCTATAGTTCCATAGATGAGTTATTTGCAATTGTGAAAGATATGGCTGAACGAGCCCTTAAAGTGTGGGTTATTTGTCCTTTATTTGTTATTTATTTCATTTATTTTCATTTATTTTCATTTATTTTATTTAATTCCATTTAATTTTATTCAATTTCATTTATTTTTATTCAAAAAAGCTGCAGCGGCATTCGCTTTCGTTTTCTAGGTCTTCATTTCCTTCTCTCTTTGTTTTCTTCTTTTCTTTTCTTAATTTCCCAATTTATATCTTTTAACATTTTATTTTTCAGTTTATGTCTTTTAATATCTTTATTTCTTTTTATTTCTCCATCTTTTCTCCTTTATTTGTATATTTGTATATTTTTTCTCTTTGCTTCTTTGTTTCCTCACATTTCTTATTTCCTTTTTCTTTTTTCTTTTCTCTCTTTTTATTTATTTCTCTTATTTGTTGTTTTTCTTCTTCAGGAAGTGAAGGACTCGGCCGTGGGTCCCGCGAGCCTTCCAAACCCTAAACCCTAAACCCTAGGCTGGGCAGCAGCAGCAGCAGCAGCAGCAGCAGCAGCAGCAGCAGCCGCAGCAGACAGCGGCCACCCCACCCCAGCCAAAAGGGATTAAGGGGGCCCCCAAAGCCCCAGCTAGCTAGCTACTAGCTAGCTCAGAAAGGGCCCCCCAAACCCTAGCTAGCTAGCTTGAGGGGCCCCTAAACCCTAGCTAGCTAGCTTGAGGGGCCCCCTAAACCCTAGCTAGCTGGCTTGAGGGGCCCCCTAAACCCTAGCTAGCCACGATCTATGGGGGCCCCCCAAACCCTAGCTAGCTTATAGGGGGCCCCGGGCCCTAGCTAGCTGTAGGGGGGCCCCAGGTCTAGCTAGCTAGCTGCTGGGGCCCCTGGGGTTCTGCTGCTGCTGCTGCTGCTGCTGCTGCATCTTTTGTCTCTTTTGTCTCTTGCCTTAGAGATGGGAGGCAGCAGCTGGTGCTGCTGACAATTAGCTAGCAGCAGCAGCAGCAGCAGCAGCTAGCTGATTGCCTGTCCCTCGCAGCGGGCTGCTGCAGCAGGCTAGCTAGCTGCTGCTGGCAGTTGGCTAGCTGCTGCAGCAGTGCAGTTGGCTAGCTGCTGCAGCAGTGCAGTTGGCTAGCTGCTGCAGCAGTGCAGTTGGCTAGCTGCTGCAGCAATGTGGCGAGCTGCTGCTGGCAGTTTGGCTAGCTGCTGCAGCGGTACGGCTAGCTGCTGCAGCAAGCTGGCTGGCTGCTGCAGCAGCATGGCTAGCTGCTGCAGCAGCATGGCTAGCTGCTGCAGCAAAGTGGCTAGCTGCTGCTGCTGCTGCTGCTGTCTGGAAGGCGCCAGGGGATGAGAGTCTCTTTTCCCTGAGACAAAAAGGAGGCGAAAGACACTGCTCTAATTTGATCCAATTTAGGGTTTAGGGTTTAGGGTTTAGGGTTTAGGGTTTAGGGTTTAGGGTTTGTTGGCGACGAGGAAACAAACAGCTAATAATGAAGACTACAGAATAAAATAAAAGACAAAAATGAATCTTCTTTTTCCATTCTTTTGTTCCTTGCATTTAGCTGTCTGTACACCCCAAATGGGGTAACGAAGGACCCAGCAAGGGGCCCCCAGGGGCCCCCCAGGGGCCCCTTAGGGGCCCCTTAGGGCACTCAAGGCCAATGGGCTCCCAAAGGGGCCCCCAAGGGGCCCCTTAGGGGCCCCCAAAGGGCGCTTCAGGCGTGGCCTCAGAGGGCCAAATTAGGGGGCCCCCAAAGGGGTCCCAGGGGGCCCCCTGGGGGCCCCCTGGGAAGCAGCTGGGGCCCCCCTGGGGGGCCCCGTGGGCGCCTTTAGAGGGCCCCCTGGGGGCCCCCAGAGGCAGCTAGCGGATTCTTGGGGGCCCCTTGAGGGGCCTTTAAGCGGCCCTTAGAGGGCCCCAGGGGGCCCCTCTGGGGCCCTCTGAGAAATCCCCCAAAAGAATCTTTGGGGGCCCCCTGGGGTCACCTGGGGGGCCCCCGGGGGTTCTGCTGTGCTTGGGAGGAGCTTAAAGTGGAGCGTGTTGATTAAAAATATGATTTAATTTAATAATTTTATTTTAAAATTTAATTTAATTAAATTTAATTTCACTTCATCAGGAAGGGGGGGCCCCCCTTCCTCATTTCTGGGGGGCCCCCGTGGCAGCCGGTGCTTGCAGAAGCAGCAGCAGCAGCAGCAACACAGCAGCAGCTGCAGCGCAGCAGCAGCAGCAGCAGCTGCTGCTGCTGCTGCTGCTAACGTTACTAGCAGCAAATGCCACTTAGGGCCCCTGGGGGGCCCCTCCGCTGTCTGCTGCTGGGGGGCCCCACGAGACCCTCAGAGGGCCCCCGCATCCGGTGGCTAAATGCATGCTGCTGCAGCAGCAGCAGCAGCAGCAGTAGTAGCAGCAGCAGCAGCAGCAATGTTAGCAGCAGCAGTGGCTGCAGCAGCAGTAACAGCCGCAGCGGCAACAAGGGCAGCAGCAGCAGCAGCAGGAATGACAACGAAAGCAGCAGCAGCGACAGAGGCAGCAGCAGCACCAGCCTCAGCAGCAGCACTACGCATGGCAGCAGCAGCAGCAGCAGCAGCAGCAGCAGGCGTTGGTGCTGCAGCAGCAGCACTTGCGGCGCTGCAGCAAACCCTCCTTCTTCCACTTCAGATTCACCTCTGCAGCAGCAGCACCCCAAGGGGGGCCCCCAGGACGGGGGGCCCCCTAAAGGGTACTCTTTTAGGGGGGCCCCCCAAGTTGGTTTGCATGCATTTGCTGCTGCTAAGTTTCATAGTTTGGGGCCGCAGCAGTGGCTGCAGAGTCTCGAAGGCCTGGCAGCAGCAGCAGCAGCAGCAGCAGCAGCAGCAGCGCGGCCTGCAGCACGGCCTGCAGCAGCAGCAGCAGCAGCAGCAGCAGCAGCAGCAGCAGGAGAAGCTGCTGCGGGAGGGTTTGGATGGGGCCCCTGCTGCGTGTCTCCCGATTTGCTGCTGTGGAAAGTGCAGCAGCGGCTGCTGCTGCTGCAGCCGGGCGAGTTGGTTCGTGCTGCTGCTGCGCTGCAGCAGCTAGGCCTCAGGACGTGCCCATCACCCACAGGCAGCAGCAGCAGCAGCAGCAGCAGCAGCAGCAGCAGCAGCGACGACGTGGCGCTGCTGCTGCTGCGGCAGCTGCACGCGCACCTCAGCAGCAGACTGCGCTGCCTCTCCCTCCGTCAAATTGCTGCTGCAGCAAAAGCTGTCTCTACCTGGAGCTTCTCGGGAGCAGCAGCAGCAGCAGCAGCAGCAGCAGCAGCACCAACTGCAGCAGCAGAAGCAGCAACAGCAGCGGAGGCAGAAGAGCTGCGGCTGTCCACTTTCAAGTTGCTGCTCGCCTCAGCCACAGCGCAACTCAAAGATCTAACTAAGGAGAAGCAGCAGCAGCAGCAGCAGCAGCAGCAGCAGCAGCAGCAGCAGCAGCAGCAGCAGGGCTTTCTGCCTTTGGTGCTGCCGCTGCTGCACGCATGCGCCCGGCTGCAGCTGACGGAGCTGCGGTGTATGTACACCCCGTTGCTGCAGCTGCTGCAGCAGCAGGTTTGGTCGAGCCGCTCGCTGCTGCAGCTGGCGCTGCTGCTGCACTGCTGCAGCAACTTGCTGCTGCCAGATGCTGCTGTCTACAGGCTGCTGCTGCTGCGGCTCTCTCAGTGGAAAGAATTCAGTTTGCTGCTGCAGCAGGAGCAGCAGCCTGCTGCTGCTCAAGTCGCTTTGGGGCAACTTGCTGTTGCATGCGTCGCCTTCAAGCCCCAGCAAATGGAAGCCCTGCAGCAGCAGCAGCAGCAGCAACAGCAGCAGCAGCAGCAGCAGCAGCAGCACGAGCAGCAGCAGATTCGGGATGGAGTTGAGAGCGGCTGCCCTGATGAAAATGACTGCCACCACAGCAGTGGCAACAGCGGCAGCAGCAGCAGCAGCAGCAGCAGCAGCAGCAGTAGCAGCAGCAGCAGCAGCAGCAGCAGCAGCAGCAGCAGCAGTAACAGCAGCAGCAGCAGCAGCAGCAGCAGCAGCCTCTGTGAGCTGCAGGACATGGTATTAGTGAATGTCTTCAGAGCTGCCTCAGCACTCATCAAATGGAGCGCCCCAAATCCAGCAGCAGCAGCAGCAGCAGCAGCAGCAACAGCAGCAGCAGCAGCAACAACAGGAACTTCAGGGGCACCAGCAGCAGGAGCAGCAGCAGCAGGAACAGGAGCACGAGCAGCAGCATCAGCAGGAACAGAAGCAAGAGCAGCAGCAGCAGCAGCAGCAGCAGCAGCAGCAGCAGCACCAGAAGCAGCAGCAAAACTGGGGCCCCCCAGTCCACATCTGCTGCAGCAGCTGCAAGTAGCAGCTCTTGCCATTTGGTTTGAAAGACAAAATGCCAAAATACAACTCCTGGGGGCCCCCCCGGGGGCCCCCTTGGGTGTGGGGAAGGCCCCCAGTGAGGTAGGGGCCTCCCGCTGCAGCAGCAGCAGCAGGGAACCGTTGCTGCTGCTGCTGCTGCAGCAAGTCAAAGTGGCGAATGAAAACAAGCTCCGAATCAGCAGCAGCAGCAGCAGCAGCAGCAGCAGCAGGTGGGGGCGCAGAAGCAGCAGCGAGCAGCACGAGGAAGTTGCTGCTGCTGCCAAAGCTTTGGGGCTGCATGCAATTCGAGAAGCAGCTGTGGGGCCCTTTGCTGCTGATTTGCTGCTGCCGTCTGTACACTGCGTCCTCGAGATTGACGGCCCCAACCACTTTATTAAACCCCCCAGCAGCAGCAGCAGCAGCAGCAGCAGCAGCAGCAGCAGCAGCAGCAGCAGCAGCAGCAGCAGCAGCAGCAGCGGTAAATGTAGCCGCAGCAGCAGCAACAGCAGCAGTGGTAGTAACAGTAAGAGCAGCAGCAGCAGCAGCAGTGGTAGTAACAGTAAGAGCAGCAGCAGCTGCAGCAGCAGTGGTGGTAACAGTAAGAGCAGCAGCAGCAGCAGCAGCAGCAGCAGCAGCAGCAGCAGCAGCTGTGGGGTCTGGGGGTCTGCAGCAATTGGTGAGAAGCAGGAAGCAATTTATTGTTTGAAAGCAGCACTGAAGCAGCGGCTGCTGCTTGCTGCTGGGCTGCGGGTGGTGAGGCTTTCTTTCAGAGACTGGCCGCAGCAGCAGCAGCAGCAAATCAAAGCCCTGGCTGCGCTCTTCAGGCAGCTGCAGCAGCAGCAGCAGCAGCAGCAGCAGCAGCAGCAGCAGCAGCAGCAAGGGCAGCAGGAGCAGCAGCAGCAGCAGCAAGGGCAGCAGGAGCAGCAGCAACAGCAGCAAGAGCAGCAGCAGCTGCTGCACGAAGAACTGCAGCAGCAGCAGCAGCAACTGCAAAAAGAGCAGCAGCAGCAGCAACTGCAGCAGCAGCAGCAGCAGCAGCAGCAGCAGTGGGGCGCCCACTGGGCAGGCTGCGGCGGGGGCCTTCTGGTGTACAGACCCTACCTGTGCAAACTGGCGCAAACAATCCAATAAATAAAAAAAAATAAATAAATAAATAAAATAATAAATAAATAAATAAATGAATAAATAAATAAATAAATAATAATAAATGTATTTAAAAGAAAGAAAGCTCTAATCTAACAAAAAACAAAAATGATAAAACTTTTATTTGCGTTCAACAGCTTCTTGCTTCGTCTCTAGTAGCTACTGCTGCTGCTGCTGCTGCAGCAGCAGCAGCAGCAGCAGCGGCCACTGCAGCAGCAGCTGCCACTGCCAGCAGCAGCGGCAACTGCAGCAGCAGCAGCTGCAGCAAGAGCAGCAGAAGCTGCTCTCACCAAAATCACCAGCAGCAGCTGCACAATCAAATACAGCAGCAGCTGCTGCGTCAAGAGCAGCAGCAGCTGCTGCAGCGAGAGCAGCAGCTGCTGCTGCATCGAAAGCAGCAGCAGCTGCTGCAGCGAGAGCAGCAGCAGCTGCGGCATTGAAAGCAGCAGCAGCTACTGCAGCAAAGGCAGCAGCAGCTGCTACATCTAGAGCAGCAGCTGCTGCTGCAACATAAAAGCAGCAGGAACTGCTGCATCACCAAAAGCAGCAGCTGCTGCTGCAGCACCAACCGCAGCAGCAGCTGCTGCATCTAAAGCAGCAGCAGCAGCTGCTGCTGCAGCAGCGCAGCAGCAGCTGCTGCAGCAGCAGCGCAGCAGCTGCCTCAAAGAATTTCAAATTTGCGTCTTTTTCATTTTCTCTTTCGCCGCTCTTTCCCTTTTCCTTCAAATGACTTCCCGAATTCAATCCAATTTATTATTTTATTCATTTATTTATTTATTTATTTAATTAATTTATTTATTTAATTTATTTAATTTATTTTCAAGACTGAGTCCAGTGGGGCTCGTGGACCTTCTCCCCCCGCTTGTCTTTTCTCTCGAACATGTGGGCCCCAAAGAGGTCCCTTTGAGCCTGAATTAAATTTGTCGGCAACTCCAAATTTAAAAAAGAAAAAATATAATTCTGAGCTGCAGAAAAAGCGGGAAGAGAGAGGAAAATGGCGCTGGCGGGTTGGGGTGTACGTACACCCGCGGCGGGTTGCTGGGGTGTACGTACACCCCAGCCCAGCCCCCACGCCAGCGCGCGCTGCAGCGCCGGCAAGTGAGACACCACTATTTCTTTTATTCTGCAGCAAAAAACACCCTTTTCAACGCAAATTGCTCCACTTTTGCAAATAAAACACTAAATTGGAGTTTTGCGAACTTTATTTCAAAAAAAATCAGCAAAAATGAACACAAATCCGCCAAAATCGAACATTTCGAACCCCAGTGGACACCCTACGCCCTTAACACGAAACTCTCTTCGTTCAAGCAGCTATTTATTTTAAAATAATTAAAAATAAATAAATTAATAACAAATAAATAAATAAATAAATAAATAATAATAAATAAATAATAAAATAAATAAATAGATGGGAGAAATTAGAAGGTGAGAACAATCAAATGAAAAGATGAAAGTCGAAAGAAAAAAGGGGAAAGGAAGAAATAAAAAAAGAATTAAAAATAAAATAAATAAAAATACAAAAAGCAAAAAATAAACAACTCAGGAAAAAGAACTTTAGGAGACAAAAAGGACAGTTTGAAGGATAAGTAATTTGCAAACTGGAATTAAATAAATAAATAAATTAACAATTAATTAGATTAACTAACCACTAGAATCAATAAATTATATTAATAAATTCAATCAATTAGTTTAATTAACTAATTATTTATTTATTTATTTATTTATAAAATTAGAAAACTAAAAATTAATTCAATTAACCACCAGACAACCAAACCAATTAAATAAATCAATTAATTATCAAACCAAACAAATTAACAACTAATTAAATAAAATAACTAAACCGATTAAATGAAATAATTAAACTAGACATATTAATTAAATTAAATTAAATTAAATTAATTTAATTAAATTAATTAAATTAAATTAAATTAATTTAATTAAATTAAATTAATTAAATAAATTAAATAAATTAAATAAATTAATTAATTAAATTACCCATCTGCCAGCAGCAGATTTTCGACTTGGGGATTTTTCCGGAAGACTTCTTCCATCGTCTCCAAAAAGCGGGCCCTAATAATGCAGCCCCCTATAAATAATAAATAAACAAATAAATAAATAAATAAATAAATAAATAAATAAATAAATAAATAATTAAATAAATAAATAAAAATAAATAAAAATAAATAATAAATAATAAAATGGATTAAATGGATGGCTAGTGAGTCGAGAAACGAAAAGGAGATCTTCAATAATGCAAAAATGCAAAAACAGAAAAAGCAGCAGCAGCAGCAGCAGCAGCAGCAGTTGCTGCTGCTGCTGCTGCTGCTGCTGCAGCTGATTCCGCGTCATTTTTTGCGCAATTTTGTTTGTTTTGTTCCTTTTTTCTCCTCTTTTTGAGTTAAAAGACCAATTTGATTATTATTATTGATTTAATTCGCAATTACTTTCCAAATTCTCGAAATTTGGATTATTATTATTATTAATTACCTTTCCAAATTCTCGAAATTTCGGCCAAGTCCAAATTCCACTGCTTCTCTTTCGAGACAGTCGCTATCAAATGCATGCCTTGCGCGTAGCAGCAAATCTTCGCCAAGTACACCGCCCGCCGCAGCTCCTCTGAAAAAACAAACATGCCATTAATGCCATTAATACCATTAATGCCATTATGCCATTAATGTTATTAATACTATTAATGCCATTATGCCATTAATGCCATTAATGCCATTAATGCCATTATGCCATTAATGCCATTAATGTTATTAATACTATTAATGCCATTGTGCCATTAATGCCATTAATGCCATTAATGCAATTAATGCCATTATGCCATTAATGGTATTAATGCCATTAATGCTATTATGAATGCCATTAATGTTATTAATACTGTTAATGCCATTAATGCTTTCAATGCCATTAATGCCATTAGTGTTTTTAATACTATTATTGCCATTATGCCATTAACGCCATTAATGCCATTAATGCTTTCAATGCCATTAATGCCATTAATGCCATTAATGCCATTACCTTATTAATGCTTTTAATGCAACTAATGCAGTTGATGCTATTTGTGCCACTAATGCCATTCATGCCATAAATGTTATTAACGCAGTTAATGCCATTAATGCCATTTATGCCATTAATGCCATTAATGCCATTAATGCCATTTATGCCATTAATGCCATTAATGGCATTAATGCCATTAATGTCTTTAACTCGGCAATTCCGGAAAATTAATTTGAAGAAAAAACGCACAGACGCAATTCGCCAAACTCGGAGGAAATGTTTGTTCGGCAATTATGCATTAAATTTGAATTCCTTCAATTCTGTTCTTCAATTATTATTTATTTCCTAAATCAATAATTGTTATTATTATTATTTATTATTATTATTTGTTTATTATTTATTATTTATTTATTTATTATTATTATTAATTTATTATTATTATTTATTTTTGATTATTATTATTTATTGTTGCATTTAAATTCATTAATGAGTAAATTTGAATTTCTCTTTTTTTCAAATTCGCCCAACAGCAAATGAGCGCTCAGCGGAACCACCGCAGGCACTTCAGTTCATTTATTCACTTCAAACCACTTTATTTATTTATTTATTTTATTATTTATTTATTTATTTATTTATTT